TTTAATTCGCCTGCTGCTCTTTTCTGACGGGCGAGCCAGTACAGACGTCTATTCATAGGAGACATTTCTTCGCCGAGATATATCCGGTGGGAGTCATTTTCTTGCCTACCAATATCCCTGGTAGAAATGTCCCGTTTTATCTTTCTTCTTTGTACTAACTCGTCCCTTACAGACTACCTCACAAAACGAGCAATCATGGGTGGTGTTCGAGGATAATCTTTTCTTGGTCCTCGTCAATTCACAAAGTCGAGGTAATCTGCGTTGATCTTAATTCCGAGGCCGGCTCCCACGCTCGTTAACAAGGCCGATGGAGTCTCTCCCGCGCGTACCGGGATGCCGCAAATTTCTATTGATCTACGAAGTAGACCTTGCTCGGCTTTGTTAACACGCACCTCAAGTTCGCCTACTCTGGATTTCAGCATCTTATTTTCAGAGGTGAGTTCTTCTAGGCCTTTCGCTTGGGCTTCAAGGTGTCCTTCTATTTTTGTGAACCTTTCATTCAACTCGAAACTGAGTTCACCACTTCTCAAGCGACTTATTTAAATTTTTATATCCTCATTGACCTGTTCACCGAGCTTGTTGACGGCTAGGAGAATATCTGATTAGGAGGGTTCTCTGGTGTCGTTCTTGGATGGACTGGCAATTTTATAGCTTCATCTCTTTTTCACTGTAATTGCAACATTTGTCGTGAAATATTACGCGCCATTTACTACAGCTTAAATTATATTTGTCTTCTCTCACGATAGGGCTGCCACAAGTTAAGCATTGCACCATTTTGTTGAAAGAAAACAAAAATTTACTTACGCAAGGAAAGTGTTGTTTATCACAAAGGCGTGTTGATGGCCTTTAATACTCTCTGGCTTAAGGGAATTAGCTACTTCTCTTCTCTCGGCGGCAGATGGTTCACTAACTTTCCTCTATGTATAATGATTCGTAAATAGATATAAGACGCAACTATGGTGGATTAAAGAACCAAAATACTATTATCAGAAATAAATATAAAAAAATTTATGAACTAGATTAGTTTATGTAAAAAATGACTGAGTTTCACAGGAGTGATGTGAACTGTACACCGTCTCTGGCCAGACTGTTATTGAAGGGGATTGATGTAAATATCCGCAGGAGTATCAAGGCCATAATAGGGCTCCCCGCTAATACATCATCGGCGATGTTATATTCACCGAGGGGGTATCGAGGATTGGGACTGATACGCTGTCAATGGGAGGCTCCTTTGCAACATTGGTCCATAGCCCAGCGATTGGTCTTGGACCCAACTGTTCGCTATGAGAGCAATGACCTCGATTAGGCTAGTGAAGTAGAAAGAGAAAAGAAGGAAATCTATGTTAAATGCATCCCTTTCCTAAAAGAGAAATTCCGCGAGACCTTCGGAGAGAGAGAGTTCACAGTGAGAGACCTCTGGTTTGGGTCTCGCGGAACGATCCTTAAAATAACAGGAGCTTCTTAGATGGACTAGGTGTTGATGCCGGGCAGCTTGCACTGTTGGCCGAGGGTATTATTCTGGACTCCCTTGGGATCATTCATCATCACATATATGGTAATTAGGGATTATCGTTATTCATTTATTTATTCAATTTTAAATGATTTAAGTAACCATATCCTTTTGTCAGTGTTCATAGGACTATTTTATTTGCTGTGTGTGCGTTCTAATTAAAACATTTTCTGGTTTTAAAACTTTGGCTTTCGAATACCATCTTTTTTTTTTCCTATAAATTTCAGAAATTGTCTTATATCGGTTTTACCGATATATGTATTTATTGTATAATTTTAATTGTGTGTATTAGTATATTATAGTATTGATATTGTTTATGCTGTGTGATATGAAAAATAATTTGTATATACACTGACAGGCTAAAAATTCCACCCACTTGATTTTTTCATGTTTTCATCTAAAAATATTTCTGCTTTGGATTGGTCTATGGTTTTTAATGAATAAATAGGTAATCTTTTTTGACTTTTTTTTTTATCCGGTTTTTGACTTTGAGAATTTTACGAAACCAGCACCTTACCGTTGTTCAAGCGATTCATCAGCTCTAAGAAGTTCAAGGTGTGCAAATTTCTGAACGTACCGCTCGGAGAAGATTAAATGAGTATGGATTAATGGCTTTTCGTCCAGTAAGAGGACCAGAGTTGACCATAACTCACAGAGTAACACGGCTGGCTTTTGCTCGAGAACACAGCCATTGGACTACGGACGAATGGAGTGCTGTACTTTTTACAGATGAGTCAAGATTCGCTCTTCGATCTCCAGACGGGTGTGAAAGGGTGTAGAGAAGAAGAAACGAAAGATATGCAGCCTGTAATTTTTCCCAGAGCCAACCTTTCCAACGTGGTTCCTTAATGGTGTGGGCTGGGATTTCAATGGAGCGCCGCACAGAATTGGTTGTTGTTCGTGGAGGGTCTTTGACGGCTATTCGCTATTTAAATGAGATTTTTGAACCTCATGTGTTGCCTATCCTCAACGAGATCGGCGATTTTTCTATTCTAATGCATGATAACGCCCACATGTCGTCCGCATAGTGCAGACGTTCCTTCAACAGAACAATATTGAGGTTTTAGCCTGGCCAGCACGTTCTCCAGATTTGAACCCCATTGAGCATTTATGGGATAACCTCGCAAGACGAATAAGAGCGCGTGCAACACTTCCTGATACACTGATGGACCTTGAAAGGGCTCTTCGGGAGGAATGGGCTATCCTCCAGCAAAGGGACATTTCCCGACTGGTGGAAAGTATGCAGAGGCGTCTTCAAGAAGTAGTGAAGGCAAGAGGAGAAAACACGCGCTACTAAACGATGATGTAATTAATTTCTTTTAGAATAATAATGGTTCGTTTTTCAATTTTTTTTTCTCTAATCTTTCTTACCCAATCACATTTTGATTATTAACGATAAAAAATATTATAAAATTCCATATGTACTAAGTATTATCTACAAATACCATGTATTATATACAAATACAACTTTTTTTACAAGTGGCAGAAATATTTTTAGATGAAAACATGAAAAAATCAAGTTGGTGGATTTTTTATTCTCTCAGTGTATATAAACATAAATAATTAAGTAAGAAGGGCGGTGGGATTGGAAGACTTGAAAGAGGAAGGATGCAAGGAAATACCAACGGCGGTAGGAAAGATAAAGCAATTACAATTCTGCATAAAAACGGGAAACAGAGGCGTCCCTTGGATCTCGAAGATGAATCGTACAAAGCAATTTATCAAACGTTTTAGTTTCGCCCCGAGATCCCCAGAGAGGCCCTCATATACCGTACAGCAATAGTCAAAGTGGGGAAAAAATGAGGAAATGACTAGGAGCCAACGGGTTTCAATAGGAAATAGGTAACGGGAGTAGTTTAGACGTTTTAAGATGGAAATGGTATGGCAGGAGATATTGGATACATAATTTTTCCAGGAAAGCGTTTGATCAAAGATTATTCCAAGGTTTTTGATGGAGGGATAAAATTTGATGGGATTATCATATAGGAACAGAGTTGGAATATTAGGAACAGTTTTAAGGAGGTGATTGGAGTCTACTAAGATTGCCTTCATCTTTTCTGCATTCAACTTCAAGTTGTTAGCTCTGGCCCATTCATAAATCCTATCCAAGTCTTGAAATTCTTCTGTGGCTGATAACAGGTCAGAGGGCTATAGTTGTGGTTATTTAAGTGAACTTTGTTTTAATTCTTTCAACACCACTCTCCCTTATATGAGTTTGTTTGGTTCTGCTCCTGACAATTATTTTTATATATTTTTTCATTTATTTAAGGTATGAGCATTGTGGTTATTTAGATTTTTTGTATCAGTTTAATAGTTTTTTTTTCTATATTTTGGGTGATGTGGATTGTCTCTTTTGTTTTTCTATTTTTTGTGTTGTACTATGTTTATAATTGTTGTATTATTGAAATCAAAACTATGGTTTTTGACTATACTTGGGTTGTGAGAGGGCAGTTGCATTTATATTTTTTACACTTTTGAAGTTATTTTTATGTTGGCTGATTCTAGTCTTTAATTTATTGGTTTTTCCTATGTTTACTTAGTTGCAACTTTTACATGCTATTTCATAAATGGTATTCTGTTTATCTAATTTGTCTATTTTATCCTTCATGTTCGATAAATGGTTAGAGTCTCTGCTTCCCAGTCTTTGGGGGGCCCCTTTCATCTATAAATTGGGCCTCTTCGTCCTGCTCCACCTGGCCACTAGACCTTTCTCTCCTATTGTTTTCCACTTTATGAGTTTCATTGCCTGGTCAGTACCCATGGTTTTTACTAGGACAACCTTACCAGTGTGGGTGACCTTCAATACCTCCACTTGGAAGCCTGCTCCCATGAGCTCCTGTTTGCTCGGGAGCTGCTTCCATATCTGTGTAGAGTTCCAGTCGTCTGATGCTCATTTAATGGTTATTTATGCAGGAGCCTCATTAGTCCCGCTTAGTGTCCTTTTGGTCCTTACATTTTTAAAAATATACGAGTAGGTCAATTGCTTGCTCCCCACCATCTGTAATTAGATGGTCTTCTTTTTTGCCTTCCTCGCGGCCTTTTTCCTCTCCTTGCGAGGGATGAAGTCCTGTTGGGCATCCGCTCTCTTACTCTCCATCATATCTACTAAATAATTCTTCTACAACTCAATGTTCATTCCCGGGAGTAACCCCTTTTCCTCCAAGTCATCATCAGATATGACGAAGTGCCTCCCCCTAGTGTTACCCTGCTCTGTCGAAAGCAGGGCCACCTAAAGTAGGATGCGGTTCTTCACCACCCACAGACGGTCTTAAGTGTCCTTAGGACCTCCTCATTATGGTTCACAGGCCTCCTTTAGTGTAAAAGAAGGACCAATTTACAGGTCAATCCAGAAGAAGGTGCTACCTCCCTCCGCTCCTTGACTCCATTCTTCCACTCGAGAAATATAAATATTTAGGGACTTTAAACTATAAGTACAAAATTTTAATTAATTAATGTATAAGGTATTAATTGAAATAAGCATACAAAATTTGAAAGTTTTATAATATATTTAAATTCTTAAAAATTTTAAAACCTTACATAACTAAAAAAACTAATACATTTATATAGTATGCTTAATCATTCTTAAAGCCAATAAACTAAGCTCTTCTTTTAGTGGTTAACCTCCTAAAATTTTGGAGGGGAGTGGGTTGTTTCTGGAAACGATTTAGACTGTTTTTCTGACCCAGTTTCATTAATAAGATGTTGCCTTTCCCGAAGCATACTTGCTCGCATATTCTGAATTTCATGTTGCTGAAACATTTTCAATAGAGCAAATATTGATAAACCAACCCAACAAGCCATAGATGCCCAAGCTCCAAACTGAAAAAAAAAAAATATATACATATATAAATAAATACTCACACAACCACGTTCTATATCCCATTTCTTGGCTATTAACTTTTTAATTAATAATATTACATAAATCTTGGATCTTTCATTTTATAATTCAGTATCTCAAATTTTGGAATATAAAAAATAGATCAACTACAATTAATTTGTAGCCTGAGGGCTAACTTAGGCGGCACTAACAAGGAGAGGTTATAGACATGGTGTCACGAATTTCAAGGTACTTTTTTTGGTGATATTAGGTCGAAAAATATTTTGTTCATGTCCAAGAGTATTTTGCCAAAGTGCCCTAGGAGCCAAGAAATTTATTTTTTATACTATGGTTTTCTGTCAATGTTTTATGAATCTATTTGTTTTTTATATAAAATAAGAAAAACATATTGTTGATTGTATAAATATGTATGATAAATCATAAAAAATCTAATAGCATTATCAGTAAAGTAGGCCAAGTAAATTTTTGCCATGAAAAATAAAATTCAGATTTGTTTTTAATGTCCTTTTAAACTATAAAATACGAATTTGTTTTGATATATAATACATACATTTTTGGACTTGATTTTATTGGTAATTTTTTTTTCATGCCGTTTACTAAATCAATCATAACTTATCAGAACTTTCTCCTAATTAATGTTTTTACAACTGATGGAAAACCTACTTATTGCTCTCCAAACCATGTCAATTACATTTATAACTAGTTATGGTTATAACCAAGATTTGGTTAACTAAGTTTAAACTGCCAGTAACAGTTCAACTTCATCATCTTCACTACCTGTTATTGGTATAAGGTTAAAACTAAACTGAGAATTAGATTGGTAAGAGGTTATGCTTAGGTTAACCTAAAGTTGTTTTGTCTATTTGTAAGTTTTTTAACATTACTAGTGTTTATTTTCCTTAATATATTGAATCTACCTTTTTTAGATTATAAATAACTTTTATTGCAGGTAATTTGTTATTTTTCATGTACACCTAATTATAAAATTAAAAAACAAAATACCACCACATATTCATTTTAACTTATAGAATTGATGCAATCTATTTTATAATCAATTTTTTTTACTATATTTAACTTTAGCAAAACAAAACAAGACCTAGGCATAAATCTAAAATTAATTAAATAGAAAACACAAAAAATTTTTCAATATGATGTACTTTACATTTCTGAAATGCCTCAGGATTCTTTTAATAGATTCTTTAAGAAAACTGCATATGTATATTTACATAATATTGTCTGAGTGCTTATTATACTAAGCTCATGTTACATATGAAAGCATGTCCTAATCTTTCGGGTGCACTTGTATTCCTTGGGTTCCTCAATTACAACTATTCTCCGTTACAATCTCTTATTTCTCCTTTAGTTAATTACCAAATTCTTTCATATTTTATATTTAACTATCTTTTCTATTAGAGATTAATGTGAAATGGTCAATTCTTTCTAATAAAAAAAATTAAAGGTACTTTAGGGGGAGCTAATATTGAAAATTAGCCATTTAAGCCCTGTTAGAGAACATCAATCAGAATAAAAACTACATTTTATTTAAAACTGCTTAATTTTACACTGATATAATGAATTTAATCAAAATCGTTAGAGCCGTTTTCGAGAATGTGTTAAGCTCATGATATAAAATGCCACTTCTGGTTAGCCGGTTTTGACGAAAAAGTTGCTGTAACATCCCTAGCATATAAAACCTTAAATGTGCAATTTCACTTTTGTACGACTTTTCGTTTGAAGGTAAGTGAAAGTAAAAAGAGACAGGGAATTTGATTGAGTGAGTAAGGGAGGAATAAAATAAAGCTAGCCTTAGAATTAGAAAGTGTATTAATTGCACTGAAAAATTTTCCAGCTGAGACAAATAAAATGAAACAAGAACCATTACTGTAATTGATTGTAAAAATAGAAATGGATCCAACAAAAATGCATGATATATTTATTTATTTTTTTAAGCTCTTCATTAGAGAAAGACTAATAATCTAATAACTTCATTGTTGATAACAATGAAGTAATTAGAAAAGAATGTTAGGGTAGAAGAGGAAGGGCAGTAAAATTGGCCCTTTGGAAACATAAATATTCATCTAATTATGTTATTTGATCTATGTAATCAATTTTAATTATTTTTTCTTATTTTTATTATGAGTAGTCCATGGAAAATAGATAGTTAGAATATAAGTGAATAAAAATGGGGGGGGAAAGGTAACAAAAGTTAATTTTGTATTCAAGTAAAACTGCAAACAATTTAATTTACCCAACCACCCAATTAACAGACATAAAAATTTTAAAAATATAAGAATATGATGCACAAAGAGAACTTCTATCCCATAAAACTCATTAACAAATGATAGTACAGTATGATAAATTATAGTAAAAATAGATTATATATAATTATCGAGAAAATAGACAATTGGAATACAAAACACAGATTAAGGCAATGATAAATACATTGACAACAATAGATAGAGAAGTTAAAATAACACAGAAATACATAACACAATTCTTATGAAGGCAATATTTATAAATATAGATGGTATTAGATCATGAATGCAATAAACAAAATTTTTTTAATTATTAAAAAAAAATGGCATAGAAGACTTAACATCAGGGGAAAAAAAGAACTGAAATGGCTAATAAAATCAATAATTTTTCTTTTCTTTTGATGAATATAATTAATGAATATAAGTTAATAAAAACATTGATAAACAATTCCTGGGCTGTTCTATTTTCAGCATATGCTTTAACATTATACTGGAACTAGTGTTGTTCTATTCCCAATGTTGTGTCTTCATCAACTTCTGCTACAATTTCATTCATGCTACATGCAATGATATGCAAAATTGCTTTTGAAACTACTATTGCAATTATACTTGAAAGTTTTTTTCTTAACTCTTGAGCTAATATATAGCGAAATATATTTTTAAAACCATAGCTTCTCTCTACAACATCTCTAGTTCTAATCAAGGATTCATTAAATAGATCCTGAATTCTTGACATGGGGTTTGTTAAAAATAATAAGAGGTAATTTTTAATAATATATCATCTATTTACTACCAGAACACCGTCCCTGAATTATCCTAACTAAAACCTGGCTTTGATATTTGAATTGTGAAATACTATCGCATAATGAGTACTTAAAGGCCACTGAACCACAATTTTTAAGTCAGCATCGCTGATTGTTTAGACATTTAGGGAGAATAATTCAGTACTTGTGAATAGTCTGGTCGGCAGTAAACCTATCTTTTTATCTTATCTAATGTTACGTCACATAACCTGCCTTTTTATCTTGTCTAAGAAGTTGCAATATTGCTTACGTTACGTCACATAACCTGCCTTTTTATCTCGTGTAAGCTGTCGCGTGTGCGTTATTGCATTGGTTATTTTATTTCGATTTTTTATGGTTGAAATGGATTTCAAAGGTGAAATATTGTGAGGAAGATCATGAAATGAAGTTTGACGGGAAGACAAAATGGAGATGCTTTCGGAGGACTTGTAACAAAAACGTATCTATAAGGAAAAGAACGTGATTAGAGGGATCGAAGATTACCTTTTCAACTGTTTTAAAATTAATTTATGGGTGGTCTCATAATTTGACAACAAAACAATGGAGCAAAGAGCAGCTGAAACTATCGGACAGATGTGTCATAATGTAGAACAAATTTTTAAGAGAGGTTTGTGCCCACAACATGTTATACAGGTCAACTAAGAAAATTGGAGGGCCTGGGAAAGTCGTTAAAGTACATGAGTCTTTTTTCTAAAAGAAAAAATCATGTAGGGAGAGTTCTTCCTGAACAATGGATGTTTGGCAGAGTTTGTTGAGAAACAGACGAGTGTTTCATCGTAAAAATAAAGGACAGAAAGGCAAGAATTGTACTATAATGAATTAAAATTAATAAATAAGAGGAGAGCACCATTTATTCTGAATGTTGGAAAGGATACAATACCCAACAACTGAATGAAGCAAACTATCATCATTTGCTGGTGAATCACCAGTATAACTTTGTTGATCCATCAACTGGGATCCATACTCAACACATAGAACGTTTATTGGGTTCAGCTAAGTGGAGAAATAAGAAACATCGAGGAACTGTGAGGCAACACCTCTATTCATATTTATGTGAATTTTCGTGGTGGCGGGCTCACAGAGAAGAGACCCGTTCCTCGTTATTTAAAATAGCATTAAGCTATTTTGTCTTCCAAAATAAATTATGAACATATATGAGCTGTATGAGTAAAATGAAAGTGTTTTATATGTATATATGTTGTAAAATCAAAGCGTTTTGTTATTTATATTTCTTTTTATTTGTATTTCTTATTATTAAATTATAATATTATTATTATATTTATATTTCTTATTAATATATTTCTTTTTGTTATATTATTATATTTGTTTTTGTCTATATCAATTTAAAATCAAAGTGTTTCTTGTCAAAAGTTTCACCAAGAATTGGACGCATTAATTTTTTCTTTAAATCACGAAAAATTGTAATAATTTTAACATGACTCCACCAATACACTCAAAAATCAGCAGGAATTTAGGGCCCTATAAACTACACCAATGGCACAAACCAGACTCCCGTAAACAAATTAAAACTGGAGATATAAAATAAAAACTTTTGAGTTTTTCTTAACTTATTTTTTATGAAAGCATAAATTCTAAAAGTTATTTATATGATTTAGAAAAGCAAGCAAACTTACCAAGGGATGCAGAAACGTTAAGAATGGAGAAAATCCTGAGGAGTTATGAATGATAGAGTAATTGGCATGAAAAGAAAAATTATCCATAAAATCAAGTTCAAAAATTTATATATTTTTATATCAAAACAACTTGGTATTTCAAAGTTTCAAGCGACATTATCAATGAATCTGAATCAATTTTTCTTCACAAAAATTTACTTGGCTTGATTTTTGTGATTTAACCTAGAAATCTATGTAGAATAAAGGCAGAAATTTTACAATTTTTCTTTCTCGGCTGTTAAGGTGCATTGGTAAGAACCTTCTGATATGGGTAAAACATTTTTCAAGCTAGTACCACTAAAAAAAGTTTCATTGAAATCGGTAACTGTATGTCCATAACCTCACCTTGTAAGTTAAAACTATACAATTTTTTTGTAAGCTATAAGTAAATACCATAAAAGAAAAAAAAATCATTAGTTTCAAATTACTCAGATTGCCAAATAATTGTGGTTGAGCTATATAATTACTGATAAAATACTACTTTTATAAGAAAAAGATACTCCTGGTTATACTAACCTGAGCAGTACCAAGTTCAATATAAAAATTTGAGGTATCTATGCCATCTTGTTTATCAATGTCTTGTCCAGATGCCATATCACAACTAGAAACAAATATATATATATACATATATTATAAAAATTATATGGTGTGTGTAAATACCTAAGTCAACTATTGGCTAGTTCAATAAATATATAAAAAAGAAAGTGAATTGACTCTTAATTAGATTGAATTACAATCAAATTTATTTTAGCAAACTGTTGAGCTTTTTAACGAAGATGATCTTAATAAAATGTGTTTATTTAAATGAAAGAAAAATTGTCTAATCCGTCTCACGCCAGACCTTAATTCCCCCCTGCCTGTTCAGGAATACTCTTCGTAAACTAATCTATGCATCTTACTGGTAGACTGGAGTGAACCGTCTTCAGACTATAATACTACACCAAGTAATTCTTACACTAATTATCAATAAGAATAAAATTAACAGAAAAATTTGTCACTTATACATTAAATTCACATTAATAATAATAATAATAAGCTTTATTGACATCAAATATTAACAAAAGCCTCTTCCTAAGGAGGATTTTTAACGGAGTTGGCTACAGCACAGAAAAATGTTTAAATTATTATATTTTTTTTCTTTTCTTTTTTTTAAATGTTTAAAATAAAACAAAATAGATATGATTTTTTTTTTTTAATAACCATTTAAGGCCTAAGAAAAACAAAGCCATACAGTAAACAGAACAGTCTTGGAAACACTCGGTTAGTAAAAAGACAAACAGAATATAATAAAATAAAACAAAGAACTAAATATTGTTTATAACTTGTTTCCATCTGTATCTATCTAGCCACAAGCCACCAGTTTTCGCCTACATGTATCATTTTATCCCTCAACCTCAGATGTGTCGGGCTCCTTTTCTTGCTATTCTCTCTTGGAATCCACTCGGTACATCCACTCACTTTGGACCATCTTTCATGGTAAGAGTGGATCATGTCCGCCTAGCCAAGAACCCTTCTCTATACGTCATGACCCATCATGGAGTCATTAAAGATTCTTCCACGACAAAACTTAGAGTCGTATTTAACGGTTCGGAGAAGATGGTGGGAGGGAACTCGCTCAATAATTTGCTTTTGACCGGTTCACAACTCCAGACTGATATTGCGGAACTTACAGATCATTTTAGATGCTTTCCTGTGGCCTTGACATGCGATGTGGAAATGATTTTTGGGTGTATCCGCATTGCTGAAACTAATCAGAACTTATTACATTTTTTTTTGGAGAAGTGAATCTTCACAGCCGAAACAGGAGTATGAGTTGGTTACCTTGCCATTTGGGTTGAAGTATCCTCCCTTTATTGGGGGTCCTTACATAAACACATACTCCTTACATAAATTAATATACACTATAAAATAAGGCTGTGTTTATTTCTTCACCATATTCATTTCAATTTACATAGCTACGTTTCGGCCGGTAAGTCATCTTTAAGCTAAGGTAAGTCAGACTACATGACCAAAGTCCAAATCTGACTTTGGACTACATGCAAAAACCATGGTTGGATAAAATGGCTTAAAGATGACTTACCGGCCGAAACGTAGCTATGTAAATTGAAATAAATATGGTGAAGAAATAAACACAGCCTTATTTTATAATATTAGAAAATTTTCACCTAAAACAAGCACATATGGATTTAAATATACACTGTCTTTAAATAAAGTTATATTTTAAATAATTTAAATTGGAGAAGAAAAAAATCAAGATTATTGTGAAACAAATATTAAGTTCAGTTAAAAATATTCCCAACACATTTTTGTGGTAAAAGAATATTTAATAGCTAATAGAGCATAAGCAAAAAATTAAAATGTTCTCATCTTTTTTTTTTCTCCTTCCTTGCCTTTTAGGCTATATGCGTTTTTTCCTGGTCAAGAAGAGAGGGCAGAGGAATTAAAAGTACCTCCCCCGGCACCAGGATGTGAACTTGTAATATTCAATTTATTAGGCTGCCAGGCAACACATAATTTACACACGTGTGATCCATAATATGTTACTATCTGTTTTTGTTTAGTTCTGATCATCAGGAGAGAAGCAGCACAACATGGAGATGACTGGTGGTTGTTGTTTCGGATGTAAATAAAAAATAATAAATAATTATTAATAAAGTGTTGCTTATTGGCAACACTGGGCGTATGAGAACCCAAACCTATTAACTCACTGGCAGCAATGCCAGGTAGGAAGGAAAAAAAAAAAGGGCTGCCTTGCTCTCCCATGGAATGTAGCGTCAGTTAAGAAGAAGTGTTTCCTAGGGTTGTTCGAATTTTTTACCTTTTGAATCTCTTCCATTTTTGTCCTCTTGGATGCCCATTTCCTTATTTTGTGGAGGCACTTCTGGTCTCCTCTAATGTCCTCCTTGTTCGCCTCCGATTCATTTGATCATACGCCCAATTTTTGGCATCTGTGGCAGCTTGACAATCTTAATCAAACCATAGTAAAACTCTGACCTTTCTCTCTACTCTAAGCAATTCTGCATTATGCGATATAGCATTGGCTACCTGGTTCCATCTGAAATCTACGGAAAGATCATGGTTGCATATTTTATTTATGTTCTCTCGTACATTACCTTTTAGGCTATAAGAGGGTTTTTCCTGGCCAGAGGGTGAAGGCGGGGGATTGATGCAAGAGTTAAAGCCACCCCTGGCATCGGGACGCTAACACTTAATTATTTTATTATCTCCAACTTTGGTTATCAGATTGCCAGTGCACAGTACCGAGCGTTAGCCCACTCGGTCACAACGCCACATCATGGTTGTGTATTATTGAGTCAAGTGCAAACTGATAAGAAGAATCGGTGTAGTCTTCTTTAAGTTTAGAGATGTAAAAATTTTGTTGTTTTTTTGGTCCCCTAACTTCTCAGTAGGGATATTCGGTCTCCGAGCAGAGCCACAACCAAGTGATGGATGATCAGAGTCTATGTTGGCTGCCCTAAACCTCAGCACATCAATTAGATTCATCTTGCATTTGGTATCATCATAAAATAGTCAATGATTGACCGTGGTACAGTTGGGAAAAATCCATGTCTTCTAATGTATGGGTATGAAAAGTAATGTAGTATTAATGATCATATCTCGAGCTATTGGAAAAACCTACCAATCTTTGCCCCTTATCATTACTGACTTCATGAAGGCTATGCAGTCTGATTTTTGGGAGATAAACTCCTTCTTTTACTATTTTAGCATTAAGATCTCTAGCAATAACTTTAATGTCATGTTTTTGGCATGTATCCATGGCTCTTCCCAGCTGGTCATAAAGAAGAATGGGCCCCTACAGGGCAGTTTGATATTTGGTCTTTATCATTCATAATGCTAAGGAATTATGGAGACAAATTTAAATCTGATAACAGGTTATCTAACATAATAAGATATATGTCATTGATTGAGCTCAGTTATTTGTATATAAAAATGAACTTTTTAAAACAGAAAAATGCATCAGAACTTTTTTTACACATCGATCTATATAAAAAATAAAAAAAATATACCATAAAACAGCAATAAAACTATAGAAAACAAAATACTCACGATGGAAATCTCATAGTCATATCATTGCACCATACAATAAATCCAAATGTAATAACAAGTGCAGCAATTAATGACAACCCACACAAAACAAAACAGCCCACAACATCAAAAAATGCTGAGAGAAAATTACTGAAAATAAAATGCAATTCATGTATCAAAGTGGTGAAAGCATATTATAAAACTATAATTAAAGTAATATATATATATATATAGAAAAATTTCTATAAACACATTACAAAACCTATTCAATGCCATATGAATAGAAGTAATGACAAAATAAATTTAAATAATTATTAAATATATATTTTTATACTTGTAGGTTAGGGCTTCAAATTATTATAATAATAACACTCATATTGATCACAACAGTCCTACTTTATTTCATTTTTTATACCCAAGTTTCTGCCCTTAGGCCATTTTCAAGGGATGAAACCTGTTAATTTAAACAATAACTTGATTAATAGTTTATTTGGTATATTATTCATGAAAATAAAATCCATTAATAATTATACTTATTCATAGGCCCATAGCATATATGGTTTATATTTGATAGAATGGTCAATAGTTTATACTATTACCTAGCTATAAAAACTCCTAGGTTCAAGTCCTAAGACCGTGGAGTAACAGTCTGACTGTACACAGCGTACAGTAGGAGTGTACACAGTCTGACTCTGTCCATCCGCCACTAAGTTCAGTGCTGCCAACTGTTATACTGCCCACTGCAGTCCACCTTTGAAGGAGACATACTTCACTGTCTCTAGACGTGCTCGAAGCTGCCCACTTGCAGTTTGATTAGAGCACTTATGAATACATGAATCTACAATATAGGGATTGAAGGGCCAGCGGTTCCTCCATTGTTACGAACATCCTGCTTGCGTCCACATAGCGTTGTATCAATTTATCATTTTTTTTTATTATTGGGCTATTAACATTTGTTTTAGTCTCTATTTTGATTTTAATATTGGACCAGTCATATCAATTCTCTACTTTGTTTTAGTAGGCTATCGTCATTTTTTTTATTATTAAATGTTTCTTAATTATTTCTTACATATTAAGCATATTATTATTTTCATTTACATAGAAGTTATTATTTTATTTTATTTATTGTAATTGTAAAATTGGTTTCATTTTTTTTTATTTCTTTATTCTTCTTCTTCTTCTACCACGGCACTACAACTCATGAAGAGTCTTTCTTATATTTCTTTATTAATATATGTAAATATTGAAAAATAAATGTTTAATCGATATAATCCACTTTTTTATTACAATTTTTTTAATTCAAATCATAGTTAAGCTTCATTCAAGGTTAATTTAAACCAAAAGGGAGCTTAATAAAAAAAATTATCACAGCCTAATTATATTTTTCCATTAATTATTATCATTTTATATTGGTTAAAACTAAGTGGAAATAAAATTAATTTATAAGTATATTGAAATTCCAGAAAGATTTTTAAAATAACTAGTAGGCCCGTGCGAAAAATTTGCACAGCATATTGTTATCAAATGCCAAATTAATAAGAAAATAAAATAATGCAAGGTGTCAAAAGATAAAGAAATCAAATGTTACTTTATCGATAAATATAATCGAAAAAAAAAACAAAAATTAATTTAAATCTTCATTTTTGTTTGGAACCAACATGTTCACAAATTTCAGTAAGCTGTATATTTGTTAAAAATAGTCTGATTTCGATGGTTTTTTTTCCTTTTGTAGGGAATTTAGTAATCTTTTATACGATTATGGGATAACCGAGGGAAAAGTGTATAATTTTTTAGTTATTCGCAAATAAAGTTTGTTTTCTTTATAACTTGTTTGCCTGAATTTTCAGGATGATTGGACTATTTCGCCTGCCTGAAGGAGAAGGAAACCTTCGAAATTGGTGGCTCAATCTTGAGATTTGGTTAAAAATTAACGATGATATGGCATGCCGATCAAAAACACCATCGATAAATAATATAAACTCCTCCTCTCTCGATCATAGAGACCTCAAGTCGACGAAATGAGACACGTATTCAATGACAGTACCACAATTAATGTAAGGCTGTGTGGATGCGAACCCTATGCCTTGCGTTATCTCGAAAACAGTACATTTTGGGCTTAAAAACACAGGATCTGATAGTCCCGGAGGAACTATCGGTGTCTTGCTCTACGCATCAAAATCTTCAAGATCCAATTTGTCCTGCATCGATCCACAGACCTACTACCATTCCAGTATTGAAGTCTAGCAAAATGTTTGTATCGACTTTATTTATTTTAGAAAGAAAAACAAAAGTGGAGAATACGATTCGCTAACCCCCCGTGAAATTATGAATCCAACGGTACCCCATTCATGGCATTTGAGCATGACAGGAGCTTATATTTGGTACAAAACCGATTTCGAGCCTTACTGTAATAATATATGTGAGGATTTGTGTTAAATTATGAATATAAAAATTGGTTTATTGAATTGTAGATATGATTTTTTTTTTAAATACAGATAGAAATTATAGTTGTTTTATTTTTTATTTTTATTTTTATTTTTTTTTTATTAAACGCCTCTACCGTTGGCTATTAGGCCATTCGGCTCCTGGCAGTCCAATACAACTCCGTCATGAATCCTTTGTTTAAATTTGTTCCGATCGCATCAGAAGTACTGCGGATATCTGACAGAGCGGGGCAAACTGAGAGGTGCAGGTCGTACATCTCATCCTGTTGGCAAAGAAGGCACACAGGACTTTCCACCACTCCAATCCTATATAAATGCCTTTGCAGGTAATCGTGCCCTGTTGCCATGCGGAAATTTGCCACCGATTCTTTCCGATTTTTGGTTTGTTTCATTGTGGCCTCTGTTAAACATTCCCATTTTTTCTCCGCTGCCTGTCGCTTTTGCCAAATCTTCCTTGTAAAATGATTTTAAATTCCTTTTAACAGATTCGTAGGGCAGCGGGGGATTAGTTTGTGGCATTTCCGAGGCGATCCGTGCGAGCTCATCAGCTTTTTCGTTTCCTGGTAGCCCACAATGGCTTGGAACCCATTGGAAAGCCACTCGGATTCATTTTTTAATTAAGTTATTAATCCGATTTCTGGCACTAGTGACATCAGGTTGGTCCAGGCCATTGCAGATCGGCAGTATGGCTGCTTGTAAATCGACAAAGATCACAACTTGGGAATAGGTGAGTTCTTTATCTATTTCAGTCAATGCTGCCGAAATAGCTTTGACTTCTCCATCAAAGTTTGTTCCCCGGCTACCAGCAGAGATGGATAACATGAAATCTTGGCAGTATACTCCTACTCCTGCATTCCGCGTAGCTGTTTGAGCGGAGCCATCGGTGTATAGGTGGAGCCAATTCTGCTCGGAATAGCGGCTATTTATTTTTTCCAAAGTAAGCGCTTTCAATTCCCACTCAGGTGTTTGGTGTTTACTGGTTGTGTTAGATCTAGCTGTGTCTCTGCGATAAATCTTTGACGGTCATTGCATTTATTAAATGGCCGACTCATGCCTAGATCAATGTGTTTTCTTTCCAGTAGGTCTCTAACGTTTACTCTTAGTGGTTTTTGCGTCTTGAGACGCTGGACAGATGTTTCTTGAGCAGCCCAGTACTTTAAACCTAGTCTTTTCATTCTCTCTGTAAGGCAGATTGCTGCCACTTCTCTCCTTGTTTGAAGTCGTTCTATTCCCGTTTGTGACTGAAGAGCTGCAATTGGTGTGGATTTTACAGCCCCTGTAATCAGTCTCAAAGCCTTGTTTTGCACCACATCCAAGGCATGCAGTGAGTTTTCTGATGCAGTTAATAATATCTCACTACCATATTCCATTACTGGTCTTCCAGGGTTAATAATTCTTCGTGAGCGCCATATTTAATTCCTGCCAGTCTTTTTAGCAAGCTTAATCTGCCTTCTCCTTGCTCAATTAATCTATCTAAATGGTTCTTCCAAGTAAGTTTGCAGTCTAATTTTATACCCAAGTATGTTGCAGAATCAGTCTGAGTCAGCTTCTCATTATTATATATAATATCTACTTCTTGTCTTTTAGTCGAGAGGGTAAAGATTTGATAATGAGTTTTGAGAGTATTAACCTCAAACTGGTTGTCCACCGTCCATTTATTTAATCATATTAATACATTATTTAAGCAGCATTCAATAGCTTTCATGTGGCTACTAGTAGCCCAGATAACTAAGTCGTCTGCATACAGAAGTGTTTGAACTCCGGGAATAGCTTCTAGTATTTCAATTACATCGTTAATCATTATGTTGAATAAAATTGGACTTAAAACTGCACCCTGGGGAACTCCTCTTCTTGTCTGTTTATAAGGTGAAACTACACCATTATATTTTACCTGGATATGTCTCTGGACCAAAAAAGAATAAATGCATTTGAACATATTACCTGCCACACCCATATTTCTAATTTTTAGTAACACCATTTCTCTCCAGACTTTATCAAATGCTGCTTTAAAGTCTACAAAAATCGCCAATAGTTGTTTTAAAAAATATGTACACTGAATAATAGGGCTGTGAATAAATTGTATTTATTTATAATATAATATTATAAACTAGTTTAATAATGCATAAAGATAGTATTATAAAAGATTTTTTAATTGTTAAGAATGTTATTTAGAAGTATGAAGAAGTTTAAAATAAAAATAAACATAACCTCACAGAGGGATGCTTAAGTATTTGACTATTTAAGTCAGGATGACAAGGACAATTCAGTCCAATTGTTTTAAAAATTTCTTAAACAGGTATGTGGTTATAAGTATAAAATTATAATAATTAATGGAAAATTATAACTAGGCTGTAATAATGTTCTTATTTGTTAAAGGTTTCATCCCTTGAAAATGCCCTAAGGGCTGAAACATCAATGAAAAAAATAAAATAAGGTAGGACTGTTGTGATCAATATGAGTGTTTTAATTATTAAATAGTTATATTTTACCCACAAAATAAAATTTTGCTGAATGTTTCATTTACATTCCATGAATAACATAGTGAAATAATTTTAATGATGATAAGAAAATTTAATAAATAAATAAACCATGATTTATTTTCCAATTTCTTCATTAGAATATGCTATTTAGAGTATAAATACAATGTTTAACATTAGATGATTTTTTATTATTTATTATTTTTGCAGTGACATGGTTGATATATCAAGTAAGCACACTTTAAATTACTTCACCATAAACACTTCTTTATTACATGTGCACTCAGGGGGGGGGGGGGGAGGAGATTGTGATAGCGTCCGAGTATTTAACTCACATGCCTCCTGGATAGCCTCTGGTGAACTTAATGATCACAGTTGTTACCACTAAAACAGTCCAAACTTAGTGACATTATGAACTGGTCAGTACAACCACGGCCAAATGCAAACAACCTTTTTAAAGGATATAACAATGCCACATTGAAAGCCATTTTTTTTAGTGTTGGAAGTCAAAGAAACATAAAATTTTCCAAATTGGAAAATATTACGAATAACATTAATGCAGACATTTGTGGGGTAGTTGAGACTGGAGCAGCTTTTATGGCAATCTTCAGTTTTTTTAGATCTTAGGTCACTAAATATTTTCGCTTCCCTGTGCTAGGCAAGTTGTTTTTGGAATCCTTGTATTGAAGACATTATTGTATCAAATCCAATCGAGTTAATTAATCTGTTAATCTGCAAGCCCCATGCTCTTCTCTTATTCAGCTAATACATGACACATTGATATTATTCTAGCTCACTCCACTATAGTACCATCCATCAACCATACACTACTATCTGCTCTAGGAGGCTTTGGTTACTGCATAATGGAAGTTTCTGTTACATCATCACACTAACAACATTGTGAAAAACCCAGTACATGATGATATACCAAGAAAGTAAACTGGCCTCCATATACACAACTTACAAATAACCAAATTACTAAGGATCTAGGTAAAACAGATATAGACCGTTCAGCTGAAAAAATACTAATTAGATTTATTCACTGAATTGCTCCCTTCACTTTGCACTTTTCCACATTAAAATATGCTCTTTTTTTCTTTTTTTTTATAACTGACATGCATTTTTCTTTAATATGATGTCAGCTCATATTTCAATAAATGGTTAAATATATTTTTTTTTTATTTTAAACTTTCTTTTAATTCTATAATTTATTAATTGTCTCACATTACTTTTACATTATACTGCTATATTTACATTATTTTTTGATATATTATAATTTTTTTTGTTGATAGATAGTCATTTTTTTTTTTATTCTTCATTTGAATTTTTTTTAAATCTTTTTATTATTAACCAATTTCTGATATGGAAACATTTAAAAACCGTTTCATTGTATGGTAAATTTTACTACATATACTTCAATTGAAAAAAAAAATTTTTTTAAAGATTTAAAACTCATTTTCAACTTTTGCACTTCAAAATATTACCAATTGCTGTTAGTTTTAGAGCTAACAGTGTTCAAAAGACTAGAGAAAGGCGAAATAGAGGAGAAAGCAGCAAGTATACGAAAGGCTGAGGTCAGAGCCCCTGACCCTAAAGGGTACCTGCGACTAAATAATACATCTCACGCTATCTAGTGGTTCCAGCAACAACTTATGACTCATGGGATTCCCAGTAGAGAGCTCTGTAACGAGCCAGAATATTGAATTTGTGCAACTAAACGATAAAGAGCTGAAGCCAACATATTGCTCAGCGCGCAGGAGCATGGTCATTCCGGAACGACTATATTGACATTGCACGCTGGCGTCACAGCCGGCCCGAGCCATTATTTGAGCATCTAAAGGGTTAAATTTACTAAAAATCCATCCAAAATTGCTACACTTAAAGAGAAGTCAAAGATTTTTAAGAGGAAAATAACTTAAGCACCTCTTTCAGAAAGTTTTTAAGAGAACCAATTTTCCCAAAGATGGAATTCACACTCATAAATTCATTTCAAGACTAAATAACCAAAACGCAGAAAAAAATAATCCATTTAAGAAAGGTAAACATATTTTCGGTCATGAGGAAATCATTGATCACTTTTGTTAACACTAAACAAAAATAACTTCAAACGGAAAAAAGAAAATGTTAAACCTTCAACTACTCCTACACTAACATGTGAGCAAGAAGAAAAAACAGTCTTTTCTGGGGTGATCTACAACCTCATGAATTAGAGTAAACTTTGGCTCACACAAAGAATGGAAAAAGTGGTGGTCCTGATGATTCCTACCCAAGTTCCTATTTACCTAAAGTGGTTCCTAATTACCTGGCAAAATTTCAGACACCGCACCGATCACTGCTTCTGTAATTATTATTATAAACAATGAAAGCAGGAATTAGCCACTTTCAGATCACAATCCTTCAATTCCTGCCTTACCTCCCTCTCATGACAAATCCCTCTGGAATAACAATAAAAAATTTTAAAATCCAGTCCTATTTCACATACCTTTCAACGAGATGATGGCCCCTGGGTCATTTCTGATGAAGGCAAGCCAAGGAATTAGCCAAACATCTTTCTTATACTTTCACTACTCATCGGAAAGTACCCACCTACACTGTAGAAGTAGAAGAAGTACAAAGTAGAAGAATTCCTCTCTTTACCTATTCTTCTTTCCATATCACCTAAAGCAGTTAATCCCTTTAAGGTCAAATCCCTTCTACGTAAAATCACTCTTCCTAAGTCACCTGGATATGACCTACTAATCCCACAGATCCTTCGACAGCTTCCATCCAAAGCCCTCATATTCCTTACATTATATTTACAATTGAATCTTAAGAACTACCTACTTTTCTCTCTTAAGGAAACATTCTCCCAAGAAAGTTTCCTTAAATCATGCAAACCGTCCAATAACACATGCTATAGATCAATCAAAAATTTAAATGATCCTAAACATATATATACAGTGCAACAATTTATTGCTGAATCAGGGCCCTCTCCAAAAGTTTTTGCCATTCATCCCTATTCTGTGCAATAGCCATCCAGTAATCTTGTATTGGGTGTATCTTGTATTGTATTACCCTACTCTTCTAGCTTGATAAAGAATTTCCATAGCTAACATTTTGGGGATTTTGTTCTCATCGCTCCTGGCGATATATACTGCCCATCCGAGCCACCTCACACTGATCCTTCAAACATCTGCATTCTTGAAGAGTGCATAGACCTCCTAATTTGTTCTTCTTTTCCAGACATTACCTTTTCGTATCGGACCCAAAATTCTTCACAATATTGTTCGTTCAAAGATCAGCAGCTTATTTTCATTAGCCTTATTCCATGCCCAAGCTTCAGATCCATACACAAGAACCTGGCGAATAAGGACTTTGTAAAGCCTAACTATAGTCTCATTGGTAATGAACCTACTTTTTAATTGCTTGGTGAGGTCAAAATAGCACCTGTTTGCTGCTGCGATCCGACATTTAATATCTTGAGATGTATCACCGTCCGATTTCATCTCTGAGCCTAAGTACACAAAGTGCTGCATCCTCTCAAACTTGCATGTCCCAATCTCAATATGTTCTTCCTGAAAACATTTTGGTCTAGCTCGCATATATTTAGTTTTAGATTCATTTACAAGTCCAAACTTCTTAGCTGACTTTTCTAGTAGAAGAAATGCTTCCTTCAGTGGTTTGATACCTGGCAACAATATCGAAATCATCGGCATATCCGAATATCTGGATGGTTCTGTTGAAATTCGGGCCTGTCTTTTGCATTCCAGACTTCTTCAGCAAGATTAAAAAGAAGACAGACTAGGCCATCTCCTTGTCTAACTCCTGTACAGGAATCGAACTCTTCTGACATGTCTTATCCAATCAGTACTACCTATGCATTTTGTCTCATTTTGGCTAGCCGTATTAGTTTGGGGAAAATATTAAGATCATACAAAGTCTGGTACAATTCTCGTCGATCAACACTGCCATAGGCCGATTTAAAGTCAATAAATAAATGGTGTGTTGTGATTTGGTATACAAGTGCCATTCCAATAATGATCCTAATAGAGAAGGTCTGGTAGGTGTTGGATTGCCCATTCCTGAAACCAGCTTGGTATTTCCCAAGAACTCTTTCTGCATGGGGAACAAGTCTACAGAACATGATATTGGAAAGGCCTTGTAGGAGCATGGCAATAGTGTGATACCCCTATAATTATTACAATCTGTCTGGTCTCCTTTTTTGTGGATGAGGAATATTTCTCCTCCTCTCCATGAAAAAAAAAAAAAAAAATCTGTACCACTACAACCTATGAAGGGTCTTGGGTTCAGTACTATTTAGGGAAAGCACTGTTTCTAGTTCAATTGTTGTGCAAGGAGGTGATGTGACCGAGATCATACTCAACCACCAAGTTTTCCCCCTTAATTAATTAAGGGTACCCACTCCTATCCATGCATCTGGTAAATCTTTCTCCTCCCATATTGATAGTATTATTTCATGGAGGACTTTTCTTAGACATTCACCACTGTGCTTCAAGAGTTCTGTTTGAATTTGGTCATATTTGGGGGCTTTGTGATTCTTTAATTTATTTATGGCCTCGTCTACCCCTTCATCATCAGGTGGCTCTGTATCTATTTTATCATTCCTTCCATGTCTATTCTCCTCTTCCATATTTCCTCCATAGCTATTTCCCTTATTTAGAGATTTCCTAAAGTGCCGCTTCCATCGATGTAGGATAGCATTCTTTTCAGTTAAGAGCAAACTATCTTCTCCTTTACAAGATTTTATTCTTGGTTTAAAGGCTGCTCTTCCACGCTGAAAGAACAAGCTTATATCTTTAGATACTCTAAGATGTTGTACATCTTCCAGCTTCTTGCTTTCCAAGGCTCTCTTCTTTCCTTGATGGACCCTCTTCTCAATCCTTCTGCACTGACTATGATTTGCAGGATTGTCTGGTGCGTCTCTGAATCATCTTTGCAAATGTCTCTTGCACACCACTAAAGGACTTGGCTAGTATATCTGCATTTGAAGAGAAAAAGTTAGCGCCAACAAAGTCAAAGAGTATAACTCCTAAGCAATTAAGAATTTAGATGAAGCAGTCAAGTTATCCAAAATTGGAATAACAAAGATAGGAATGGAAAATAAATCAGTGATTTATTGATTCTGAATAATACATAAAAACAAAATAATAATTAATTTAATAGAATTATTTAATTTTAGTTTTACCTGTCAGTTCCTTTATAGATTAGAATGGACATTCGATAAATTTGCAATATTGAAATAATACTTAAAACAACTCCAACAAAAATAGTATAATTACAATAAGCTTGAGATGCCCAGTGAACAAAAAATTGTCCACTATCTTGCCATTCACCACTTGAAAATAATAAACAATGCCCTCTAAAAAATAAAAAGAATTAAAATTAGAAATTTTTTAATAATAAATAAGTAAGTCAAATCAATAAATACATATCTATAAAACAGTAATATAACAAGGAATATGGTTTCATATTAATTGTTTGTTAAATATTATTTTTAATTAATGAAAATTTATTGAAAGGCCCAGATTATAAGATATGTAGTACATGAAAAATACTCATGAAGAGAGATGGAATCAAAGCGAGAGAGACTCGGATACAAAGCTAGAAAGATTTGAACTCCAAATGAGATAGATTTCAATGTCTCAATTGTGTGATTTTAGCTACAATTAAATGAAATAAATAAAAATAATCTTTATCATATATATACTGTTGGACAAAATTAAAGGGTCACCTACAAATTTCGGTATAAATATTTGTTAATGAAAACAATAAATATTTCTCTGGTACCAGAGTGGAATTGGTGTAATCTTTTTTTTTGTTCCCTTCCTGACATTTTTGCCATACGGGGTTTCAGCAGTGGGTTAATACATTGGGAATACGTAGATCTACTGCTGCCAACAAGATTCTTTATTTTGTTTTTAATTCAATATTAATGGTTGTATACTGTGGTGCGGCCAGGTGCATTGATGGGACCGCACCTTAGTCTCTAGCTGGTTGCACGTTGTGCCCTCTTAGGTAGCTTTCTCCAACAGCTTGGTGCTCTGCCTCTCCCGGAGCTCTTCCTCCTGGCCTGCTGGTGGAAATTCTCTCCCTATCGTAGGTTCCACCTTTTGTCTCCATTTTCTCACGAACTCCATAAAGTGGGGGTATTTCTCCTCTTCCATCAGTTGGGGAAGATCCTCTGCATCTAGGGAGTACAGTCCCGTCCTCTGCATCAATATGCCTCTGGCTTGCTCCATCGCGGTGCAAGATATGACCACATGCTCAGCTGTATCAGGGGCAATCAGGACATGAGGGGTCGATGTTCTTCTCATGCTTCCTGAGTTTGTCTCTAAGCCCCGCTATGTTCCGTCAGTATCTGTGAGGTCCAGTTGTCCGGCTCGACCCAATGTGCTTTTAATCTGGAATAAATGGTGGAGAGTACTTTGTCAAGGTGACTCTTTTCTCAATTGCAATCCATCACCCATTCCACTCCTCTAGTGTCCCCTCTCAGACTATGCCACTCCATCTTTCTGGATCCTCACGGACCCTCCACTGAAGCCCCTCTGGGAGTGTCTCCAGTCCCTGCCTCTTAGGTCATTCCTCCAAGCATCCTCCTGAAGGACGAGATCAAGGGGCAACTACCTGGCCAGCACCATGGTTGCTCATAGTATACACCCTAGGATCACCTTCCTTAGGTAACCGCTCCAGATGGAGGTGCAAGTCAGGAGGCACTGAGAAGGCCCCTTCACCTGACTCGGGAACAGTGGGCTGGTAACCCATTTTCCTTAAATTTCTCTTATCACGATTATGTCACAGTTAAAAAGCCGGACTGATAAACTTGGCAACAGACACTGGCGAAGAAAATGATTCAAGATTGAATTGAGGAATGTAGAAGTTTGTTCACCGAAGGAGCGAGCCAAAACCTTGATATGCCACTAAACAAGTAGGGAGTGGACATTTTGGCTTCGCAAGAAATATGATGGAGAGAATCAAACTTCATTATGCTTAAGGATTATATACCGACTAACACTGGAGACAAGACCAATAGATATGGAACTAGGTTCATGATTAAAAAGAAATGGAAAGGAAGTATCCTGAGCATGTAACATATATGAAAGCATTATTAACAGAATGTGTTATCTAAGGATTAAAGGATGATTTTGCAATATATCCCTGATTTCAGTACACGCTCCAACTGAAGACAGTGAAGAAGAAGTCAAAGATAATTTTTATGGTGTGTTGGAAAGAATTTATGATAGCCTGCCAAGATACGATGCCAAACTGGTCTTAGGAGATTTAAATGCGAAGGTTGGATTCCAGGAAGAATTCAAACCAACAGTAGGCACCAAGAATCCAACGAGAATGGTCGAAGACTTGTTGATTTCGCAATTGGAAGAGGACTATCAATAAGCACCACACATTTCCCTCACAAGAACATACATAAGGAATCATGGGTCTCCCCAGACGGGCAGATAAGAAATCAGATTGACCACATTCTAGTGGGTTCAAGACATGCAGCACATATTTGAGATGTCTGAGTGTACAGGGGAGCAAATTGCATTCAGACCACTTCCTCAGCATCATCAAGTACAATCAGAAAATCGCACATCCAACCCAAGGAGAGAAAGCAGAGAAAAGATAACCCCGTACACTGCAAGCTCTAGAATGAAGAAGTTAGACGGGTATAAAGTGAAAATATCGACAAGAAACTCTCTGAACGTAGTGGAGGAACAGATGCCAGCACCAGATGGGCAGACCTGAAAACAATAATATCATCAGCTGAGGAGGTTCTTGGTCATCAACAAAAACCAGGAAGAGCAGAGTGATTTGTTGAGGACTGCATCAGCTTAATGCAAGAAAGAAATAAAGCCAGGATTGACTATCTGAAGAAGAAGACGAGACAGGCTTACCGTGTTTATAGCAACAAGAGGAAAGTGGCTAGTGGTCTCTGGCAATGTAAAAGAAGAGAACATAAAAAAGAGAAATACGAGCTCTTAAAATGACAACATGAAAATAAGGATGTTCGAGGTTTCTTTGGGGGAGTATGACATATCACACAGGGATACAATCCATGACTTGTTTTCATGAAGGACAAGAAAGGCGATCTTCTGGCTGGCAGAGGACATGTTATCAATAGGTGGAAGAGACACTTCCAGGGACTACTGAACAAGGAACTTCTTCCTTTTTCAAGAGGAACAAGGAAGTTCTTCAACTTAAGGTGGATATAATACAGCAGAACCTCGACCTGGATCGGACCTTAGAAAATGAAGATGAAAACTATGCGGAAACACCACCTGAGAAGGAGGAGGTTTGGGAAGTACTACACAGCATTAAGAATTATAAAGCTCCAGGAGTCGCCTATATACCAGTGGAACTGCTGAAGTATGATGGAAGGACAGTTCTCGACGAACTATACGAAATAATTTTTGATATGTGGGTGAACGAAAAGATGCTGATAAATTGGACTACAGATCTTTTATAGACCATCCATACTGGAGCCCCGGACTGGAGTGTGAGAATTACAGAGGTATAGACGTACTTAATGTAGCCTACAAAGTGCTATCGTCTTTGATTTGTCAGAGGTTGAGGTACATGGAGAAGATTGTTGGTGGCTACCAAAACGGATTCAGGCAAGGAAGGTCGACAACTGACTGCATATTCGCCCTGAGACAGCTGTTGGAAAAGACACATGAACTTGATGTTACTCTCCATCATCTTTTCATAGATTTCCAGCAAGTCTATGACCGCGTTGATAGGGTAAACCTTCTGCATGATTTACGAAGTTTTGGAGTTCCCAAGAAGCTATTGCGTCTGGTTCGGATGACGATGACCGGTTCTAAATGTAGGATCAAATCACAGGGCTCACTGGGACAGGAATTTTCAGGCAATAATGGTCTTAGACAAGGAGATCCTCTGTCAGCAACACTCTTTAATATTTCCATGGAGGGAGCAGTACGAGGCATAAGAACCAATCCTGGAGGCACCATATATAACTATATAACAGATACACACAAGTATTGGCCTATGCTGATGATGTCCACCTGGTAGCCAGAACACTGATGGCGCTTGCAGAAGCTTTGGAGGAGTTTGGGCGAGAGGCAAATAGAAGAGGTCTCAAGATCAATGAGAAGAAGACGGAATACATGAAGAAAGCTCAGAAACCCCCACAGATGCCACCACATACAATTAATATTAATGGTCATAACTTCCCAGATTGTAGGGCTTTTAAATATCTTAGAACATTATTCACCAAAAAGAATGAACTACGCAAGGAGATAGAAGCCAGAATAGCATCAGGAAATCATAGCTTTTTTTGCAGTACATAAAGATTTGAAGTTCAAACATATTTCTTGGAGAGCAAAGGAAGTGTTGAGCAAAATTAATCTTAAATAATAGATAATGAATAACGAATAATTTATTCGAACTTTCAACTACGAATAACAAATAATTCTGTTTATCTTTTATCTAGATAATAAATAAATTCAAGTTATCTATTATCTTTTTATTTGTTATTCAAGTTTTTCCAATAAATTGCGAATAATTTGACTCTAATTTTATTTTTCTTCGATATAAGGGCCCATTTATGTATTTTCGGGTCCATAGTTTTTGAAAATGATTTCCATTTTACGATTAGGCCACTTCATTGCGACTTATTTGAGTTTTTCGGATTTATTTTATAAGAGGATCTATTATATGTTTTCGGAGGCATAATTTTTTTAAACGATGTCTATTTTGAGATTACCTCACTGCGTTTTGACTTATTTGTGTTTTTCGGATTTCTTTCATATGAGGATGTATTTATATGTTTTCGAAGCCTTGGTTCTTCAAAATGATGACCATTTTGAAATTACGCTACTGCGTTCCGACTTATTTGAGTTTTTTGGATTTCTTCCAAATAGGGTTTATTTTTATGTTTTTTGAGCCGTATTATTTGAAAATGATATCCATTTTGAGATTACTCCACTACATTTTGACTTATTTGAGTTTTTCGGATTTCTTTCATATGAGGATCTATTTATATGTTTTCGGATCTATAGTTTTTTAAAATGATCTCCATTTTAAGATTAAGCCACTACGTTGCATTGTTTATGAAGCATTTTATGAACAATTAGTGAGAACATTTGACAAAATCCCAAAATATGATGTCAAAATTATCCTGGGATTTTAATAGCAAAATAGGGAAGGATGAAAGTCTGAGAAAAGGAGTAGGAAAATTCAGTCTCCATAAACATAGTAATGATAATGGATACAGAATTGCGGACTTTGCATCTAGTAAAAACTTTAAAATATCAAGTACAGCCTTTCGGCATAAAAATATCCACTTACAAACATGAGTCTCTCCAGATGGCAAAACCAAAAACAAGATAGATCATATCA